AGTTTGCCGGGGAGAGTTTTCACTGCGGTGAAAAAGTCACTTCCGACAAACTCCATAGGCTAACACAACTCACACAAATTACATGTATGTCTTTCCGATAAAGCTCAAAATCATCTACAGAATTTGCCTAAGTGTTCAAAATAGGAGCTGGCCTACTGCTGTTCGTTACGGCTATTACGGCTTGGCAGTACTAGTACTGTCCCTCATTTCAGCATCAGTGTCATTCAAAGTAACGATATCTATAGATAAACCACCACCGTTTCCTCTTGACTAAATCGCGCTCCAATAGTAACATAGTAACACGGTAAATATAACCATATATTTCCTCAAGTAGCCATCGCCTTCTCACCTAATGATGATGGCGTATGACCTAGAATGAACTAAACATCGACATTGGAATGATTATGGCATGATGATTGTCTGCTTTCAACTTCATGTGTCTGTGCTGTTCTGTATTCTTACAGCCCGACACCATCTCCGCCACATGCAACCATGACAACTCCTTCCCAAGGCGGACCTCTCTCCTTAGCAACTCACAAGTCGTCAAAACCACCTATGTCGTCCTCTACAGGACAAACAGCACCTGTCATGTGCGAAACATGTACTAGCCCAACAAACGTCATAGTACAGAACGTAAAAGACTCTCTTGCTGAGGTAAAATGGGCACACGGTGGTAGCAAGGATCTGACAGGATTCGTTATTCAGTACAAAATCCTTACAGAAGAGAACTCGTTGAAGGAAACAGAACTGGTTCACTCGACACGCCGATCCTATCCCATATGGGGCCTTCTCTCTGACACGCCCTACTTAGCCTGCGTGGCTGTCTCCTGTAAGAACAAGGTTAGGCAACCAGTAGTAGATGACTGTGTGTACTTCGCAACGGGAAAGACTGCAGTGTCTGTCCCACAAGAAGCAGTCGTGGGCTTGGCCGTCGGAGTGCCCCTGTTACTACTCATCCTCGTGATGGCGGCCGTCATCGTTTTCCTGAAGAGGAAAGGACGCTCCACTGCCGAACACGTGGATGAACGCAGGCTTGGTCAACGTCAAAAACAGGTATTTTTATTTGTTGTCCTTTCATTACATTAATAGGGATAGTGTAACGACGGCTTTAGTTTTGATCTCTTATATGTGCACATTGTTGTCCTGGGCTTGAACCATGTACAGCGGGCCGATTTATTTTTTTTTTACTTTACAGGAAGCATCTATCGGTTTGGCTGAAGTCCACGGTGATATCACAGACGACCCTCCATACAACAGTATCAACGAAGACCTGGATAAAGGTCATCAGGAAAACCCGTACCAGAACCCAGACTTCCTGACTGAACCGGGGGAAGCCGGCACAATCACTAACCCCTACATAGACTTTCCTATGAAGTAGCTTATAGATAAAGCTCAAAATCATATGGTATATATATGGTATTACTCAGTCCAGATGTTAACAGCAATATATACGACTAAAATATGAAATATATTTCACCCGTACTATGTATAATAATATAAATATTTCAATTCATGTGCAAAAATCAACATTGGTGCATTATTATGTAAAGATTAACATTATCTACAGCTTTTGTCAACATTTATGTAATCGCTTGTTGCTGTTGCTAGTCATCCTCGTCAGAGGTGAAGCATAAGATCATGCTTTTTCTATTAGCATATGTTGCGCAATGCGGCCGCGCTACGGCTTGCGCATACATTGTATATTGGGGTGATGATGTTATAAATGCTTTCTATTAAATGTTGGTTAAATCAAAATCTCAAATTCCATCATACATAATCAAAATAGGTTTATGGATTATAAACTACATTGACCTTCATCAATGACGTCGACGTTCTTTGGAAACAATTTAATTCATTGGATAAGTACATGTTTCATTGGATACGCTTTATACATGTAGTATATTGTGGTTTTACTGGCTTATTTTGTTGACGGCACATTTTTTAAAGAAAGTCCTGAATTTATAAAAGGTTCCATACATTCATTTACAAATTTTAATTGAAATGTGGCATCGTGTATTATGGTACAAATCATTTATTTGTTATAAACATAACCGCACGTATACTTACTATGGCTAATACTAATGGCGTGGTTTAAAAAATGTACTAATACTAACGGTGTGGTTTAAAACGTCTTTTGTTTCCATCTATGCGTTAGGATGTGTACTTTACTATACATTACAAGATAAACAGAGGTATATGACATGGGAAGCGTGTCCAGTTATATTCTGTCATGATTGCGAAATTCAATTCATACCAGACTCAGATGACGTTGAATGCATGCTATGGTACTACAAATGTATCAGCGGCAAGACACATGAAGTCTACCAAAGGCAACGTTCATGTGGTATTAAGGTGAAATATCCTCAACAGTCAAAAGGTCAGGGTCTCCTTTTCTTTTGGCTCAAATTGCTGACAGCGCCCAATGGCTTTGACTTGCGTACGCGGCTTGTATTCATCAAGTGAAAGAAGTAATGTTGACTGTTCGTGCCCGCCAATTTCTGACAGTGACATAGACATTTTTCTTTGCACAAGAAAATATGCAAACAATCCAGTGCTGCTTGGATGGGGATGTTGGATACCATCGGCAATACTAAAAGTAGAGTTTCTTACTCGTCACTATCAATAGAATGTGATCGTTTTTTTTTCAATGATGATTTGCCGTTTTCCTTACGGGGGGCCAAAATGAACTCTTTAATAATTCGTCTGAAGTAACCACCCTGCATCCTTCATAGTACACCCCTAACAATGCTTTATCACGTCTGTTCTGGAACAATGTAAGGCGCGGAGCCCTGATGACCACAATCGAACACCTTGGTAACGCCACCAGACCACTGCAACCTCCGAGACGAACGGACGTGCGCGCCGCTTCTCTGCCAAATACTTGCTTCCCGTTTTGACCAGCGCTCGCGTTAGAGCCACACACTCCGGGAAAGTGTTCATTAATCTTGCCTGCACTCTGAGCTGAAATAATGGCGCCGTAAACACC